TATGGCAGGGCACCTTTGGGTGCCTGCCACTCTAAGGGCAGAGGCAGGCAGCTACCAGGTGCCTGATGAGAGCAGCCATTTTGAACAAGGCACATAAAGGCTGCAGTTTGCTGTGGCCAGGAAAGGCAGAAACATAGTCTAGCTGAGCTGCGGCAGGAACAACCTTGGAGGTAAGGGCAGGAACTTATGGGGATGGTTTGGAGGGTCGAATGAAAGTACACCCGAAGGACAATGCAAGGGCCAGCCCTGTGACAAGTTGTGCCTGGTGAGAGGCTTGTGGCAGAATCAGCCCAGGGTTTGGCACAAGGCCGGACCACGTAGAGTAGGGGAACTTGAGGGAATCAAAGGCTCTGTGTGGCAAGGCCTGTATGACAGTAGCAAAGCCTGATGGCCCAAGAAGGGCCGCTCAAGAAGGAGTAGGGGAATGGAGTGTGGCCCAGTAATGGGTGGTATGCCGAGAAAGGGGCGGAGTGGAAGAGGCCTCCTGTGAGAGAGAGGGGTGTGTGTGTGTGTGTGTGTGTGTGTGTGTGTGTGTGTGTGTGTGTGTCCGTCCCAACTCTGGACTCAGTTTGCTCCTGTCTCAGACTGAGAGTAATATTAATTTGGATGCCATTTGTGAGGCATGGGCTGCAGTACAGGGAAGGCCGGAGTTGCAGATAGCGCCCCCTGGCATCAGGGCAGTAATGCGCAGTCTCCCGCACATATAATCTGTATATGGGAACAACAAAGTCATGGTAGGCGGGATCGGGTGGATTGCCCCATAGAGACAGGTGAGATCCAGGGCCAACATGAGATCCAGTCCCAAGAGTTGCCACCTGTCACAAGCAGCAACAAAACAGTCTGCAGCTGCTTGCAGCTGCAATTAGGTAGGGCTGCCTGACTGGGGAGCAGGGCCCACATGCCCTGTATAAGGGCTGGGCCTTGAAGATCAAGCCAGCAGTCTGTTGCCAGCCAGCCGGAGAACACCACCCAGCCGGACCTGCTGCTTGCAACATCTTGGAGGTAAGAGCTGGGGTTATGGGAAAGGAGGAGGCCCCCCTTGGCCCTGACTGAAAACTGCACCCTGCTGGGGATGGTGGGACTATCTGTAGCAGGACAGGCTCTTAGAAGTGCCAGGCCAGTTACAGCCCCAGTGAAGGGCAAGTATGGGGTGCCTTCTAACCCCAGCCCCACATCCCTGGTGGCTATGAAGATTGGTACAGGGGGAGGCCAGGTGCACTGCAAGCTCTGAGGCAGGGCCCAGGCCAGGTGGAAGGACCTGTGGCAGTACACATGCTTGCAGATGAGCCTGTGGTTGCAAGGGAGCCAGGTAAGGCTCCTGACAGGTGGGGCCCTGAGCCTTGGGGAGCTATTAAGGAAGCTTCCGGGCTCAGAGATAAGGGGCAGCTCAGGGGGGCTCAGGACAGGGCTCAGAGGCCCGATGTGTGCAGGCTTGGAGGCCCAGTGTGTGTGGGTTTGGAGGCCAGTGAGGGGCCTGGGGCCAAGGTGGGGCTTGGAGCCCAGAGAGAAGTAACTAGAGGTATGATAAGTAGGCCGGGCACTACACCATGGAACATCTGCAAGGCATGGGACATGATAAGGGAAGGTTGGTGTCATATATATATATAGGCCCTTGCCATGAGGGCAGATAAATGGGCAGCCTCCCTCCTGAGTAACATCATTGTAATTATTAACATCAAGGCATGGCAGGAGAGGAGGTGGGCAGCTAGCCCTAAGATAAGTGGGTGGGCCTACATTTTGAAACCAGCCCCAGGACGCCCACTTGTTACACTCTGGATTCTAGTATCAGTGCTCTCCTGCTTTCTTTCACTGTATCACAGGGTCACATTGCAGTCTAAAATTTAGGTCACTTACACCTTTCCTGTCTTACTCAGGGCTCAGCAGCAGCAAGTGCTGAGAGACTTACCAAGCAGCGGCTGAAGTCCACCAAGCCAGGTTCAGGAAATCTGCCACAGTGGGCTGAAAAAAATGGGGAGAAGGAAAGAACATGTCAACAGAGCAAGTGCTCCGTTAGGTAGCATGCAGTGACTACCCTCTCCTGGCAATGGAGAGCCAGCTCTTAAGAGACCTCTCGCTAACAGACCCATGGGCTATATGCAGGTCTTAAGGCAGCAAAAGGACAGGTATGACATGCTCGCTAGAGAAGCCCAGGCAAATGCCATGTGGATAGAGGGTTCCATTTATCCTGTCCCCACTACAGTTTTTAATGGGCTTGGTAACCAGTTAGTGGCAGAGTTGGTTCTAAACATGCTCACATATCACAAGGTTGTGGTTAAGATTGTGGCCAGTAGGGATCTGTGGTTCCAGCTGGAGGGCTGTGCTTGTATTCATCTGTCAGTTGGAAACCAGTTTGGCTCACTAACATTTTGCAGAAGAGTGTTGACCCTGTAAATGGCCTGTGAAACTGGCCTGGAGAGACCCCCCTCCCAGCTCTCTGGCTTACTAGAACAACCCAGTGAGCGCTATGGGTGGCACTGCTTTGTGTTATGTCCTCTGGGTGCTCTAACGCCTGCTGAGGGAAAATTCCCCAGGTTTTTTGAGAATGCACTGTTACCAACATGAATGGACATCCCAGTAAGTATGGAGGCACCACTATAATAAAGAAACCTTACTGAGAGTGCAAGAATAAAACATCCTGGTGTGCAGGAAGACTAGCAAGTATGGCAGAAGACCAGCTTAGCTTAGCAGAGAACCTTTCAGTAAGCTAAATCTCAAAAAGGAAGTTTATGAGAAGTGAAAACTCAGACAAATAACTAAGAAGGAGTATAAGAGCATTGCTTGGGCATGCAGGGATGAAATTAGGAACGCCAAAGTATAACTGGAGTTGCAGCTAGCATGGGACATGAAGGGTTTCTACAAGTATGTCAGTAACAAGAGGAGGATCAGGCAAAGTGTGGATCCATTACTGAATGGGGGAGGCAACCTAGTGACAGAGGATGCATAAAAGGCTGAAGTACTCTATGTCTTTTTCACCTCAGTCTTCACAGGCAAGGTCAGCTCCCAGACTACTGCACCTGGCAGCATAGTTTGGGGAGAAGGTGAGCAACCAACTGCAGCAAAAGAACAGGTTAGGGACTACTTAGATAAGCTGGACATATACAACTCCATGGGGCTGGACAAGGTGCACTTGAGAGTGCCGAGGGAGTTGGCCAATGTGATTGCAGAGCCACTGGTCATCATCTTTGAAAACTCATGGTGATCAGGAGAGGTCCCAGACAACTGGAAAAGCGCAAATATAGATCCCATATTTAAGAAAAAGGAGGATCCAGGGAACTACAGACCAGTCAGCCTCACCTCAGTCCCTGGAAAAAGCATGGAGCAGATCCTCAAGGAATCCATTTCTAAGCATTTGGAGAAGAAGGTAATTAGGAACAGTTAGCATAGATTCACTAAGGGCATGTCATGCCTGATCAACCTGATTGCTTTCTATGATGAGATGACTGGTTCTGTGGATGCGGGGAGAGCAGTGGATGTAGTATACTTTGACTTCAGCAAGGCTTTTGATATGGTCTCCCACAACATTCTCACAGGCAAGCTAAGGAAGTACAGGTTGGATGAATGGACTGTAATATGGATAGAAAAGTGGCTGGATTGTTGGGTTCAGAGAATCAATGACTTAATGTGTAGCTGGCAGCTGGTCTTAAGTGGCGTGCACCAGGGATTGTTCAATTGTTCAATATCTTCATTAACAATCTGGTTTTGTTCAGTATCTTCATTAACAATCTGGAAGATTGGATAGAGTGCACCCTCAGCAAGTTTTCAAATGACACCAAGCTAGAGGGAGTAGTAGATATGTTGGAGAGTAGGGTTAGGATTCAGAGAGACCTAGACAAATTGGAGGCTTAGACCGAAAGAAATCTCATGAGGTTCAGTAAGAGCAAGCGCAAAGTTCTGCACCTAGGATGGAAAATTCCATATATCGGTACAGACTGGGGACTGACTGGCTAGGCAGCGGCTTTGCAGAAAAGGACCTGGGGGTTACAGTGTACAATAAGCTGAATATAAGCCAGCAGTATGCCCTTCTTGCAAAGAAGGCTAACGGCATACTGGGCTGCATTGGTAGGAGTGTTGCCAGCAGATCAAGGGAAGTGATTCTTTCCTTCTAGCCAACACTGGTGAGGCCACATCTGGAGTACCTTGTCCAGTTTTGGGCCCCCATCTACAGATAGGAAGTGGACAAATTGGACACAGTCGAGCAGAGGGCAACAAAAATGATTAGGGGCTGGGGCACGTGGCTTATGAGGACAGGCTGAGGGAACTGGGCTTACTTAGTCTGGAGAAGAGAAGACTGAGAAGGGATTTAACAGCAGCCTTTAAACAACTGCCTGCAGGGTGGTTTCAAAGAGAATGGAGCTAGACTGTTCTCAGTGGTGGCAGATGACAGAACAAGAAGCAATGGTCTCAAGTTGCAGCAAGGGAAGTTTAGTTATTAGGAAAAACATTCTCACTACAAGGACAGTAAAACACTGGAACAGGTTACTCAGAGAGGTTGTGGACTCTCCATTCTTGGAGGTTTTTAAGACCCAGTTAGACAAAGCCTTAGCTGGGATGATCTAGTCGGGGATGGCCCTGCTTTGAGCAGGGGGTTGGACTAGACAACTTTCTGAGGTTCCTTCCAACCCACATTTTCAAAGATTCTATGATAAGCTGCTACCTATACACAGCTCAGTCATGTTTCTTGGTTCCATGGTATCAGATGAGACCATAATCCAGCCACAAAATCATGGCTGTAATGGGGCCTACATCTATTAGTGCAGATGAGATAGGTGATTATGTAAGTCTGAATTTGATTTGGAAAGCTTAATGTTGATGAGATACTTCCTATGAGGACCAGCCCAGGGCATGAAAAGAATAGTAGCCTTCCCTTATTACAAAGCAACAGTGAACCTTGAGGGGGCAGAGCATAGGAACCATCTTCTTGGGGTGACGGGCAAGGTTTCTTTTAATGCATAGTGCTCTAGTTATCTGCATTAGCTCTGCAGCTACTTCCCATGAGAAAGCAAAATAAATTTCATCACTAGTTTGCTTGTCTCACTCAACAACAGCTTAATTTCCTAGCTGTCAGGAAATCAGCACGTAAGTCAGGAGAGGAAATAAAGGGCCCTCACCAACCATGAACTGTAAGAATTTTTTTCTGGTTACAGTCATTTAACCTGCCTCCACCTAATCGCTATCCACAACCAACCACTCACCACAAACACGCCCCTGGGGGCAGCTCCTGTGTTGCTCTGTGCTTCTGGGACACACACAGACTGGAAGTCATAGGATTCTTTCCGTGTGAAAAAGGAGTTGTTGTAGAGGGCAGACATCAAATTAGCATCCACCTCACTGAAAAACTTTCCCACCTGGAAAGAAGGTCGCAAAAACAAAGGGAGTGAGCCTGTGTTTAGCATGAGAAATGAAATGCCCTCCCTGAGCTTCTAGCCTGAAGTTACAGGAATGGTACAGGAGCCATCCATGAAGTTGTAAGTGGTTTTAATTTAGTTTCCATGGGGGCTTCTTAACATCCAATTTATGGTTCATCACTGCTGAGAGCTTCACCTCAGGGAGGACCCAGGGAGGACCCATGATTCTAATAGCAGGGAGAGGGAAGCAGTTAAACTTCAACATCTCTGGCAGTAATGTGAAGGGTATGGGACTGGAAGATGAAAGAGTGCTGCGACACAAGACACAGGAGCATTGGCAAAGTCACAGAAGGACAGAAGAATAAGATGTGCTGTAGCTAAGAACTGAGGGGCAGTGGCAGAGCTGTGCGAGGAGCCCAGGGCTGGGATAAAAGGGGAACTACAGGTAAGGACTGAGGGGCACTGGCAGACCTATGCATGTGGGGCACCCAGGACAGAAAGAACAAGAGTTTTACTGATGTCTCTGCAGCCATCACGTTTAGGAGCTGTGGTACCAGCCCTTTCCCCAAGCTGAGAAGGCAAAATAAAACCAGTAGAATGGACTAAATAGGCCAGAGGGTGTTTGACTTGCAGAATGTGATTTTAACATCAGTTCCCAGGCAGAAGCCATTATGGGGCAAATCAGCACATTCCCCCGCTGTATGATGGAGAACGTTCTTCCTTCAGGCTCGCATCATATCGAGCTAAACCCCTACTTCTCAGCCATCTGCTGAGGAATTGCCACTCACCTGGTACCAGTGATCTTCCTGGTTGGAGAGTACCAGGAAGCCGCCATCATCAATGAGAACACAGATAAGGTCCTGCAAAGGAAGGAGACTGTTTGGTTTTGTGTGGTGGGAAGCTCTTTGAGTTTCTGCAGTGTTCCTGCTACAAGACAGGCAGGCAGGGTCAGGTCAGAGTCACGGCCCTATTTCACAGGCCAAGCCAAGTGCATTTTAAGAGAAATACAACCAATACAGAGAACCCCAGAGGTGCTGGGCATGCAAGGGTGACAGATGGTTGACAAGGGATAGGGCCAGAAGTAAAGTCATCTGCATGTCTCTGAAACCTGGTTTAGATTACAAAGTTCTGCTGGCAGAGCTATGTTGATTTGGATCCAAAAAAGACCACACCCTTTGGCTGATGTGGCTCTGCTAGCAACCCCTGCATTGGATGCAGCTCTGTGGACAAGACTGGTGGTGCCAGGGTGTGTCTGGACTCACAGGTCAGGACAGAGTTAAGAGGTAAGAAGTTAGCTGCTTAGTTTTGCTCCCCCATTCCCATCACTCACCTTGTTGTTGGCCTCACAATCCATTTCACAGCTTACTGAGGGGTCACACTGGTGATCAAAGCACATAAAAAGAAGATAAGAGAGTTGTGAGAACAGCAGCAAATGTGGTGTTGGAGACTGATCTTCCTCCTTCACACTATACAGCCAGGTTGGTGCATGCACTTTCCACTGCTAGCTCATCCCAGTTCCCCATTCATAAGCAGAAGGACTTCCCCACTGTTCATCGAGCAAGGGTGCAAGGGAAGGTGAAGCTGTCACAAGTAAGGGGAGGGGATGGTATGAAGTGAATGACAACAGGTCAGTGGGGGGAGAGGTGTGTGTGTGTGTGTGTGTGTGTGTGTGTGT